GGTCTGCGGTCTGCGGTCTGCGTTTTCGAGGTCTGTGTTAACGAAACACCTGAGAGAATATTGCTTTGTACGATATCACACGTACGTGTCATTGATCATCTAGAAGTATTGCATTACTTCACGGTAGTACTTTGTGTGCCCCGGGCCTAAAGAACTTATGGCAGCTTCTAGAAAGCACTTGAGCTGGGAAGATCCTGAAGGTAAATCATCAAGTTGAACTTAGTATTGTAGTGCTAACCTAAAATATTTTGTTGTCCGAATACTTTAGAATATCAAAGTAAATAGCTGATGATGCACGGGTTTTGTTTAACCCGGCGTTCAACATGTGTTAAGTAGCATTGTCAATGGAGGTCGATCCCTATCTCAGTCAGAAACACCAAAGTAACATGGCTAGAGTACAGTTCTAAATAGGATCTACATTAGTAAATCCTTTCCAAATAACTAAATTAAAAAGTAACAATTCTATAGCTGATAGTGTACATACTTCACATAGCAGATTGCCTGAAAATAAAATAACCTTTCCTGGACCCTGCCATCCAGGCAAAATATTTTTATTCGAGCTGTGGGTGCAGTAGAGTAGGTGCTAAATAAAACTCTGTCCTGTGTCAGTAATTTTTATAAGTGACAATTTGAACTTTTTTTCAGAAATAATATGTATTGATTCCGATGATGATTGCAGTACTAGTAAAGAAAATGTAACAGTTGCTCCGCCGCAGAAAGTGCCTAAGGTGAGTATTTTGGGGTAAATGTCTGGTGTAAATTATATTCGTACGCTAGGTATTACTCGATAATGACACAGTTTTATGGTGTTGTGTTGTACGCGATATTAAACTCGAACCGAGATAAAAAGCTTTGAAGTTGTGTAAACAATGAGTCTCTTTCTATCTGTCGCCGGCGTTACGATTGGTCACTTCATGCTTTCGCGGGAACTAACAAGATTGAATCACGAGCTTAGAAAATACACTAGAACGCGTGTAGATTGTTAGAATTAAAAATCCTAAGCACAAACAGCGTTTTTAGTGTTATAACCACGAGAATCTAATGAGCCCGAAATATTCAGATCATATTTTTGCGCGAAAAGTGGTACGGGACTCTGTCACGTGAAGGTTTAGCTGCAAACAGTTTTTGACGAAAGACAAGAAAAGATTGCCGTATTACATATCCAAAAATTCAATATTTTTTAAAGTGTGTTTGCTATTTCTTTCTTTGAACTCTTCCGTCTGATATTACCTCTTTTGCTAAAACTTTGCTTCAAAATTTGATAACCAAACTTGAAAAAAGTCTTCTTTCCAAGCTCTGTCGCGTTCAACCGAAGTCATCCTCTTCTCTTTTGGTTTTATTTTATTTCAGAATGCGCGGAGATCTGCTGAAATATCGAAAAATGTCCATTTCTCGTCTTCTTTGGAGCGACCGAGGGAAACTTCATGGTGAAATACAGCGTCACACCATCGTGATAACGTACACGTTCATGACAAATGACCGGTGCAGATGAGATAGTTTCGTGTAGATCAGCCAGTGTATCTACAGAGGATGTCAGATTGCTCAAATTCCCGTGAAATAAGGTGCAGCACTCGGAATCTGGATGGTATGCACACGATTTGAAGACGATATGTTTGTAGTTACCTCAAGCAGCCCTCCACAAAGGCTGGTCAATTTTTTTAAAAGATGACAACCAGAGGTGAGATATCTCTTCGGGATATTGCTCATAACATAATATTCTTTCCAAGCCTTGCACGCTTCGTTTGTCTGAGACCAAAAAAATGACCGAAACTGTACCGAGATAAATAATCTATTGGTGTGTTCACATTCACTCTCAGGGTTTTAACTTAC